TTAAAATTTCCGAACATTCGTGTTAGAAAAAAATAGATTTCAATTAATCAATTACATTATTGTTAGTAAATATTAATTAGGATACTTTTTCATAAGCAATTGTTTTAGACAAAATAATTACGAACATTATTTTTAAAACATAAATTAGATTTAAAACCAATTACATAATTGTTAGTAATTATCAATTTGAATAATTTTTGGAAGCAATTGTTTTGGGAAAAGGAATTATGAACATGTTTTTTTTCTCGATTAATTTCAAACCTTACATTTTATGAAGCGAATTAAGAAATCTTGTAGGATTCCAATTTTGAATTTTTTGATATATGTGGATTTCGCTTTTAAAATAATATGCACACAATTTATATACAAATAAAAATATCGGCCATAATTAACACGCGTTAATTGAATTTTAGAAAAAGTAATTGGAATATCTTGGGTAAGCGTATATCTAAATTTTGAAGAATATGGGATTGTGTTTTTCCTAACAAAAATTTCGATTATTTTAATAAAAAAATACCTTAATAGATATTAATGCATGAAATATGGAACTTATTTATTCCAGACTTTAAATAAATATAAGAAAATTGGACTAATCTATTAATATATAATAAGGATTAACATAATCCACTTTTAGAAATATTTTCCCGCCAATTTCATTAATTACTGCCTAAAAATAGTAAATTAACAAAATCTCTATTTATTAGCATATCTTTTTTATCTAATTTTTTTTAGGAATACAATAAAAGATATAGAATCAACATCAAAATAAATCTAAGAAATACACTTACCATACTTAATACACTTAATTTAAGAAATATACTTACCATACGTAGTTTTTTAACAAAAAATAAATACAATATAAAACATTTAATTAATAGTTGTCAATTAAATATTCATTTTAAAAATCAATCATATTTCTAATAATTGTTAGAAATAATTTATATATATATTAGTATTTACGTGAAAGTAACATATATGTTACTTATATGTTAACATATATGTTAATCCTATATAATAAGGATTAACATAAATTAAATTTGGAAACAATTTCCCGCCACTTTCATTAATTATCTCCTAAAAATAAATAATTTTATATTGGTAAACAATAAGGAATCAAAATTCGAATAAATCTTCTATTTTTCTAAATAATTTGGAAATCGAATAAATCATGATTTTAGAAATCGTGATTTCCAAACAATTTGGAAATCCGAATAAATCAACTTTGTAAGCCGACTTGGGTATTGAGTTTCTAAGAAAAATCATGAATTGTATATATCATGATTTTAGAAATCTGTTCAAAATTTTCTTTGCATGAATCTGAATCATAATTCATTCAGCCTATTATTATATTATTAAATTGTTTGAAACCGCATTCTAAGATTTGTATATATCAGATTTCTAAAATCATGATTTGTATATATTATCTTTTCACCAATTAGACTTTTTTCTTCATTGTCGATTTGAAAAGGAAAACGAATTTTATATACCTTACCGGTTTGATAATACAATGTTATAATCATTATAATTATTTATTTTAAAAGATAGTGCTTGTCATTTATTTGATTTCAAAAGATGAAAAAATTTTCATAGTTTAGGTCTCTTTTTATTTATGCATTTGCACAAATTAATTTAAAAACTCTTATAACGATTGACAACAAATTTTGTTATATGTTGATTCAAACCAACTAATTAATAAAAGAGTCCATCAATCACAAAATTAAAAAATAACACACGATCACTACATTTTAAAGATTAAGTTTTTTAGATAAATATTCATTTATATTGTCAATGACGATAAACAAGAGTGAGTGTCAATCTTAGAAATTTGATGATTTCAACTGCTATATTTTCAATGGTTTTTTTACCGTAGGAATTTCCGATGGAATATGCAAATTATGTTGGAATTTTTATTTCCACCCCGTTGAAAAATCTATCGTTGGAATCATCAAAATCCAACAGAAATTCCAATGAAAAATTCATTCCAATGGAATATTTTTGTTGGAATTTCCGTTGGAATCCATTGAAAATTTCTAACGGAAATAATAGTATTGCAATATCCGTTGGAATAACTTTTTTTGGAATAGATTTCCATTAAAATTTTATCATTTTATTGTAGTGTGCCCAATAATAATATTGTTTACAATTAGGTTTTTAATAACATATGATTTTTTCATACCCGAACATTTTATGAGCATTTTTCGCTCAAAACATTAATTACCTACTATAGATGAAAATAATATATAATGAACTAAATAAAAAATAAATCATTAATTGAATAATTTTCATATAACTCAATTTTCGGTTTGTGTTTGTTTTAGTAAATTCTTGGTTTTCTTTAATTACGTTGATAGTAGTTTTGTAGGCAAAGATTATATAAATAATTATATGTAGCCGATTTTGGAACTCTTATTTATCAAGGATTCTTTTTTATTTTAACATATTTATTAGAATCATTGGTTTGGATTAGCATATATGTTACATAAACACACAAAAAAAAAAAAAAACTAATTTTATAGTAATATTTAGATTTACATGGTGTCAATTTTGGAATTCTCATTTGTGAGGATTCTTTTTTATTTTATCATACTTATTAGAACCAACAATTAATAAATATAAATTTATATTAATATCTATATATATTTATATTAATATTTAAATATAGTTTTCATTGTAGCATATTTCGAGAATTAACGATTTTATATGAGATATATACAATTTTTTTTTGAGATATACACCAATTCCCTTTATTGGTATTCTTTTTGTCAATTGTTTTTAGAAGGAAAATTTTTAAAATTTTGTAAAGTAAATCAATTTTTTTTTGTATACACAAAATATAAATTTATTGCAATATATATATATATATATATATATATTACTACCTAAAAAGTTGTCATACATATAATAGGAAATTTGTCAAATTAAAAATTGTTCAGTTTGAAAATATATAACAAGTTGTCACACATTCAATTAAAAATTGTTCGACTTGAAAAAATTAGCTTGAAGTGATGTCCAATCACTAATATTTTATATTTTATATCTACTATATATAATCTCTTAATAAAATTAGTGATGTAATATTTAATGTTTTGTATTATTCATACAGATTTTTTTAGATATACACCAATTCATTTGTCCAACAGTTGTATAAATTATCATATTATAAATAGATCCATCTTAGACTTCTATTTAAGTTCTAGCGGCACCAGTTCCTTCTGATTTTGGGATTCCATTTAGTAGCCATGACCAGTCTTTTTGTATAAAAAAATATAAAAATATTAGTGAATACTATATAGTTAATCAAGTAATCGATATTAAACTAACGGCTCATTGTCTGACTGCCTAAGTAAATTATCATATTATAAAAAGATCCATCTTAGGATTTCATTTAAGTTCTAGAGCACCAGTTACTTCTAATCTTAGGGTTTCATTTAAGATCAGGGCCAGTCTTTTAGTGCGTTGACATATTATTAAAGAAATCGGTTCTTAGCAACGACTGATTATATGTTGTTGTTTTTACGTGTAAGTAATAGAAAAGAGATGTACATTGGCATGTTAAAAAACTTTTTTTTTATCACGACCAATTATATGTTGTTCGCGTGTAAGTAATAGGTCAAGAAGAGTCAAGGTCAACATTTATTGTACGTTGGCATGTTAAGTAATAGATCAAGAAGAGTCAAGGTCAACATTTATTGTACGTTGGCATGTTCTTAAAGAAATCTATTTTTAGTCACGGACAATTATGTTGTTTGTTTCGCGTGTAAATAATAGAAAAGTGTTGAAAATATTAGTTTGTGGGGACGACGAGTTGCTCAGGTATTGAACAAATAATGTTGTGTATAAGAAAGTTTAAATAATATATTTTTTTGCATGAGGAACATTTTATGGTTTGATAATTTCCTACGAATTATCACTCTTTTATTTATAATACATTTTAATTTATAATATTCTCCAAAGTAAATACAGCCCGTGCATCGCACGGGTTACATACTAGTGGCAAATAATGATAAATCTAGTATTCCACACATTAAATATTTTATAACATGCGTTAATTATTCAATTGTATTAAATTATTCTACACTTTAAGTTATCCATTACATAAAATTTAATAATTGTGCGTTATAAAATATGTAGACCCATTTGTTTGTTTATTCCATAAAATAAGGAATGCTGCCATAAGTTTGAGATAAGATGTATATTAAATTTTTCAAACAATATTATCATGAACAAAAAATATTAAACCACAAATTATGTGCAAACTATAGAATGATTTTGCATACATATTATCCAAAAATAAAATAAAAAATCTAACCAAATCTAACCAATCGATTTTTTTTTTAAAAAAAATAATTGTCATAAGTATTAAGTCAAATGAGTTACTCTATTTTTGCATGAACTTTTCACAATGATATATTGACCATCATTTTTCATTTTTCAATATATGTAGATAAATTAAAGTTAATGTAAGATTAAATTGAAGGCATTATTTGGACAAGTGGAGTAAATTTTTTTAAATAATACTATATAACTAGACTCATATAAAATCTGAAATTCAACTACATGTAGGATTCTCTCAATAGTCAATACTTTATCTGTTTTATTTATCACACACCCACACGTCCAACAGATCTTGTTTGCCTCCACAAAACGCGACTTTATTCTTCTCTCTACAAATATCAAAGCAAAACACCCAAAATAGGATTCCAAAGTTTGTATTCCAAACACGGAACTAACCAAAATAATTATCAAAAATTAAAAAACAGCCCCAATTTTGCTTTTAGACCCCAAAACTGAACAGGAACCCTAACCCTAGCCGCAACCACCGCACGATACGCACAAATCTCCTCCTTCCTATCATTGTATCTGTTTACGCTGACGCTGTAGATTGGTTATTGGATCTGATTGTTTTTTTTTCTTCGTAGGGTGTACTGTATTAGGGTTTGGTTTTTGTGGGAGATGTGTTGCTGCAGGGGCGGAGGTGGTGAAATTGGACAGCTGGCGGGATGAACGGCGGAGGTAGACGCCAGAGGCGGCGGAAATCCATGGCCGGCTGCAGGGGCGCCGCGGAACCGGAGAAAACCGACGATAATTGCGATTCCCCCAATTTGGACTCCGAAATTACGGGAAAGCCCTCGGGTTTTCCAGATATTACGAAACTACCCCCGAAGTCAGAAGCTGAGCTTGACTTGTACACTCAAGCTCGTAAGGCGCTCGCCCTTCGTTCCCCATTCGATTCTGAAGACTCGCAAGCTACGCCGGCGTGTGTATCGGCTGTGAGTTCTCGGCCAGGTGGGGTGTCTCATTTGTTGGGTCGGCATTCGGATAGTCGCAAACGGCACAAGAAGTTGCATTTGGGCTCGGAAAAGAAGTCTTCAGCTACTGGTAAGGCTCGTGGGAGCAACATTTGGGTTGAAACGGAGGAGTATTTTCGAGAATTAGCCATCGAGGATGTTGAGAGGCTGGATGGGTTTTCATGTTCTGGATTTTCCAGCGACGACAAGTGTTTCTCGATTCCATACCTTGTTAGTGATGATAATCAGCATGTGTATTTTGACACCTGTAATAGGATGCTCATGAATGCTTCAGACAAGGATAGTGTGGACTTGGAAAAATGTGTTGAGTTGAAAAGTAATGGTAACCTCAAGATTGATGAAAGGACTGCAGAAAAAGCAAACATGGCTGCTTCTATTGATGTTGGTGGAGATGAGGTCGCTACAGACGAGTTTCAGATGAAAGAAGATAGTAATGAAGGGAAGAGAGTGAACAGTGAGACTGATTCTACTTCTTTTAATGGTGTAGAATGGCTTTTAGGATCTAGAAGTAAAGTTTATTTGGCATCAGAAAGGCCCTCGAAGAAGCGGAAGCTTTTGGGGAAGGATGCAGGGTTGGAGAAACTCCTCGTGGCACATCCTGTCGAAGGTTTAGAGTCTGTCTGTCATTATTGTAGTAATGGGGACATGGGCGACACTTTAAATTTGTTGATTAAGTGTAGTTCTTGTGGGATGGTAGTCCATCAAAGGTGCTATGGAGTACAAGGTGATGTGGATAGCTCCTGGCTGTGTTCCTGGTGTAAATGGAAAAACGTTGTAGAGTTAAGTAAAGCGACACCATGTATGCTTTGTCCTAAGCAAGGTGGTGCACTGAAGCCTGTGCAGAAGAGGGGGTTTGGGAGTGAATATGGTAGGTCTATGGTGGAGTTTGCTCATTTGTTCTGCTGCCTGTGGATACCTGAGGTTTATTTGGAGAACACTAGGGATATGGAACCAATCATGAATGTGGATGGGTTGAAGGAGACGAGACGAAAATTGATCTGTCATCTGTGCAAGGTTAAACACGGTGCCTGTATCAGGTGCACTTACGGTATGTTTTGCTGCTTTCTTATGTTACAGTCAGCCATTTGTTTGTTGGAGTGGCTGGGCAGAAGAATTGTGTGTTATTTGGAACCTATAGTGCGATCTTATATATTGGGGTATGGAACAAACTAGGTGCTGCCATGCTGGTTTTAACCATTTCGTTGTATGAATATTTTGAGTACGTGTTTGATTTGACCCAGAATGCTGTGTTATGTTTGAAGCAATTTTGTAACTGTATAATTGCTTCAGAAAATACCACATCTTTATCTGATAGTTTTTTCAATGTCCAGCTCTATAAATGTAAATGTATACTATGTTGAGACATATGAATAAGTTATTCACGAGGTTCTTCTGTTCAATGGAAACTCATTTTCTATCTGTTCATTTTCTTATTCTTTTATTTTATTTATTTTTGTTTATAAGTTTCCCGTATTGCTGGTGGAATTTGGTGCATGGAACGTGGAAGGATTTTTATTAGTTGGTTAAATTTCCGTGGCCACTTACTGCTTAACCTAGTATTCAAATTGCTCAAATTCCTTTTTTGTTATATCAGAGTCATTTTACAGCTTCTGTGAATTTGAGGGCAGTCTCTTTTCGTCTTTTGGTCAGAATCAACTGGTTGACGTCAAACTTTTTAATTAGCTGAACATAAACCATTAAAGTTAGTTTTCAGTAATAGTATTGGCAGTCTTGAGATCTCTGTTAACTTTCTGAGACTTTAAATATTGGTTCAAGTAGAAGAAACATGAAATTTCTCACCAATGAGGTTAAGTGTTTGCTTGACGGAATTGCAACAATTAAAGGGTTTTTATTTGCATATTTATTCAGTAAACATGGATCTGTCTAAATATGAATGGAAGCAGCTTAGCAATGACCCTAACAAAATTGTTATTCTGTTACATTATTTCCTATAATCGAGGAAATCAGAGGAAATAACTTGTGCATATAAAAATGTAGAATATTGAGAAAATATCCTATGGGAGGAGGCGGTGGTGGTGCTTTTGTGCATCAACTGTTGTAGCCCTTGAACCATTTTGTTCTGGTTCAGACTTTCAGTTTATATCTCATCTCATTCACATTTTAAGCTTCTGGCTGCAATTTGTCAGGCCAGGTTTGATTTCTTTGCTTAGCCAGAGCAATTACAAAGCATATGGTCTAGCCATATATTTCCCGAGATATATTGTTTACAACAACATTTGCAAAGTGAACTAATTTGGAAACCTTGAACCTTTTCAATCAATACTCCTTTAGAGTTTTAGTTCTGGTCTTGTTGGTATTTATGATGGGACCTATAAACCTAGTATAAATCAATTCAATACATGGAACAAACGCTAGAAGTAATGATTATCTAAAGCCGAGAAGGCTGTAGGAATTAACCATACACAACCAATTATGATAGAAATGTTTTCGACTTTTTGTTACATATGCATAGAAGTAATGATTATCTAAAGCCGAGAAGGCTGTAGGAATTAACCATACACAACCAATTATGATAAAAATGTTCTCGACTTTTCATTACATATGCATGGGCATCATTTTAGGTTTAATGTTTTTGGCTGCGTCGACTGTTTCCACATCATACATATCTTAAGCTTATACTATTTTTTGACAAGAGTTTCACTCTTCCAAGAAATTGTTGGTTTGCACTGTTTCTCAGCAGAATCATTACGTTTTTGTTTGTTCAATGGCTATCTGCTTCTTATAAGGGCATGTTACTGATTTTCTCATTGTGACTTCATGGAAAATGATGAAAAAGAGAACCTAAGCTTCTTTGTTCAAGATATTATCGTGATTCTTCTATGACTGTTGCTGATTTGTTGGTGTTTCATTTGATATTTGTTAGGATCTTGTAGAATGTCATTCCATCCTATTTGTGCAAGGGAGGCAAGGCACAGAATGGAGATATGGGGACAACTTGGATATGATGAGGTGTGTTCTCTTTCGTATTTAATTAGAGCCAAAGCTGAAATGTTCTAATATTGTTATTATAAGGGAACATCAATTTAAAACTGAGGGAGGAAAAACTCTCTATTTTAATTATTGACACGTCATTTATTGTGGTTGCTTTAGTTATTGTTCTGTAGGCTCTAAGCTGTAATAATCAGTCTTTTACTATGTTTTTGGTGGATCTTTTTGAAATTTGTTACTTTTCAGGTTGAACTGCGCGCTTATTGCACAAAACATTCCGAAGTCCAATGCGATAGTGGCACTCAAAATGCTGAAGATGTTTCATTGACAGGTGATTCTACTTCCTACTTCTTTTAGAGTCAAAAGTTTAAGAGTTTTCATTAAATGAAACTCTCAGTTGAAATGGTGTTAAATTGGTTATTCCGTTTGAAACAGCTGATCTGGATGTTAAGAAGCTTAATGATATCGTATTGGATGGTGAGGACTTGCTTTATTCGGGCTCTCATCCAGAATATGGAGATCCAATGCATCCGGATGGTAGAAATGGCAATGAAGATGTAAATACTTGTGGCGTTTTCAGTTTCCCTATGATGCTGAAGAAGGTAGCTTAAGATTTTTATGTATGACAAAGATAAACTATTTTTAGTCACGTATTTACCTTCCATTTTCTTTAGTTGATTGATCTAGGGAAAGTCAGTTCTGAAGGTGTTGCCTCAGAGATTGGCGTTTCACTGGATTCATTAGACAATATACTAACTGTAAGTCTGTAATGCTTGAGCTACATTTTTTTTTTCTTCTAATTTTCTATTCAATTTTGTCATAATACGTCAGCAGTAAATGGGATGTATTGCTTAGCAGTATCTGATATTGGTCATCTTGTTCTCTTGCCTCTTTTGGATTCATTCAGGATAATCAAATTGTACCAGAGTTACAGTGTAAACTACTTAGATGGCTGAAAAACCATGTTCAAATCGGCAACATACAGAAAACAATGAAAGCGAAGGTTAGATCACTTGTAGCCCCCAATGATGTGGCAGTTGTAGCTGAAGGTGGCGATGCTGTTCCAGTAGAGTTCAATATTTCTGATTCCGTTCCAGTCAAATCTGTTCCACCACGCAGAAGAACCAAAAGCAGTATAAGGACTGTCAAAGATGAAACAAATGAGGGTTATGTTGATTCGTGTGTTCATGTCGGAGAAGATTCAAACGATCCATCTGGAGAGTCTTTGTCTGATGGTACCAAGAAGGTAATGCTACCTTTTCACGATGCTTTTACGAGGGAGGTTTTTGTTGATTGTAAAGTGTGATTTGCATTCTTTGTTTAAAATGCTATTGAGGGTTCTTATGTTATAGTTTTAAGATACACTCTGGGACATTTATTGCCTACTGCTGCCAAGTGGTAGTATTGCATGTGAATGGTATTAATCAACCCATCATAGCATATGTCACACATAATATCATGCTGGTGTTTAATATCAGTCCACCGATATGACAGTCGTGAGGTACTCCAGTGTTTTATTTTCTTAGAGGTGTGAATCTGGTTTTGTTAGATGTACTATTTTTCCCTTTTTTTTTATTACCATGATATGACTGTAATAGAGTGTTGCCGCTGTATGTCTGTCGTGACAGCTTTTTTGTGCTTGATATATTTCCTAGAGCTTTACTTTGTGCTTCCTGTTGTGCAGATTTTGGTTGACTATGAGCAGCATCAGGATGATTCAGTGGAAAATTCTATCGAAATTGAAGGTATTGTTTCGGGAGTTAAAGTGTGTAATTTTATGCATTCATTTCAGAAGTTGTACTGAATCTGCTTGAAAGCATGACATGATTTACCTTATATGCTTTATGTGATGTGTTGTTTGACTATTCCCTAAAATTTTGCTATACTATTAGTGAAATGATTCTGACTGCAACTGTGTGCAGTTTATATACTATTGCTGATTTATGCCTCTTTCTGCGGCAGACGAGCTGAGAGCTCTAGTGCAGTTTCTTTCTGAAGATGGTTTGCATGAAGAACGTACACAATCACAACAGATGACTTCGTTTTCACCTGTGTTGATGTAAGTTTGTGTTAAAAACATCCTTGTGTATAGTGTTGAGCATAACTTTTGAAACCAACATAGTCATTTTCTAATCTTTTCATCCTTCTATGGCAAATGGGGAATTTTGTAAATTTCTGACTCATTTGTGCATAATGATCTGTAGAAATGGGGAAAGTAGTCATACCTCGTACATACATCCATTTATCTACAGTAAATTGATGCAAACCAAGAAAGAAGTGCTTGAGAGAGCTGCATCTTGTCAGACTGCGGGTTTGGTCCTTTCTGGTTCTCCTTTTTTTTTTTTTTTTCTCTGTTAAAATTGTGTGATTAATTACATGATTGGCAGTTCTGAGAGAGCGGGAAGCTTCCCAGTTAGGGGCATCTTCTAGTTCAGGCCTCTGTTGTAATAACGATAACCTGCAAAGGACTTCTAGTCACCGGACCTCTAAATGCAGTGGAGTAGATCTCGATCAATTGGTTGATGCAAGAAATATGGGAATACTCAAACTATCTCCTGCAGATGAAGTCGAAGGAGAACTCCTATACTATCAGCATCGAATCATTTCCAATGCTGTTTTGCGGAAACGTATTAGTGGTCTCTACACTCTCTTGCTCTCATCTCTTCTATTTATTAATTTTTTCTTTTAGGTGACTGTACACACAGTGTTGTTGAATTCAATTTGTTTCTTTGGAAGATTGTATTAAGTTTATTTTCTGTTTCTAATTACCTGGTCACAGATGATTTGATCTCGAGGGTTGTTAGTAGCCTCCCACAGGAGATGGATGCTGCTGGAGAACGAAAATGGGATGCTTTACTAGTTAGCCAGTACCATCATGAACTTAAGGAAGCAAGAAAGCAAGGCAGAAAAGAGCGACGCCATAAGGAAGCTCAAGCTGTATTGGCTGCTGCTACTGCCGCTGCTGCTGCGTCCTCTAGGTTGTCATCAGTTAGGAAAGATAGCCCAGAAGATTCTTCACAGCAAGAGGTTATATTTAAGCCAAGTGTTCTGACTGATTATGTTATCTTCTTCCCCTTCCATTTTCTTGAAAATTTTCTTATTTTTTATATTATATTATTTTTTCAGGATTTTATGAAGATGAATTTATCAGACGTGAGGAACGGGGCACACTCTCATCTTAATTCTAGAGTGAAAGAGACTGTTACCAGGCTGGCTGTTGCAAGGTCACTTGACAAGAATGGTGATTCAGGCCATTTAGCTTCTTCAGACAATCCAAAAGATCGTCCTAAGACATGTGATGTCTGCAGACGACGCGAGACGGTTCTGAATCCGGTTTTAGTCTGTTCAAGTTGCAAGGTGTTTACAGTTGTGTTGTTCTAAATTCTTTGCAGCTTGTTTCTTAAATTCAATTATTAACTTCTGCACCTTTTTGGGTGTCCTTTTTTTTTTGTTGGATCACAGGTTGCAGTTCACTTGGACTGCTATCGTAGTGTTAAAAGCACTCCAGGACCCTGGCATTGCGAATTGTGTGATGACCAATTTTCTTCTCGAGGTTCTGGAGCACCGGATACAAACTCTTGGGAGAAGCTTCACTCTGTTGCAAAATGTAGTTTGTGTGGTGGCACAACAGGGGCTTTTAGGAAGTCAGTCGATGGTCAATGGATACACGCCTTATGTGCTGAAGTAAATAATCTCTCTCTCTCTCTCTCTCTCTCTCTCTCTCTCTCTCTCTCTCTCTCTCTCCAGTCTATATTCTTTGAAGCTCATCTGTTTTCATTTTCAACTCAATGTAGTGGGTGTTAGAGTCAACGTATAGAAGGGGGCAAGTAAATCCTATTGTGGTATCGGTGAGTTTCTTTTTCATTTTCGCTATGATCCCTTTGTGTTCCTCTTTTTCCTACTTGTGGGCCTTTGTTTGCCTACACAAATTTTAATAACCGCACTTTTACTTTCCTCCAGGATACTGTCTCCAAAGGAGTTAATGTTTGCAATGTATGCCATCATAAACATGGTGTCTGCCTCAAGGTTGAGATCATGAGATTTATGATTTAGCTGAACTTTCAATTTGATGGTTTTTTTTTGTTTCAGTTCTCATTGTTTTGTTGTTGTGCCATCTACAGTGTAGCTATGGTCATTGTCAGGCTTCATTTCACCCTACTTGTGCTAGAAGTGCTGGTTTCTTCATGACTTTGAGGACCAATGGTGGCAAGTTGCAACATAAGGCTTACTGTGGAAAGCATAGTGCAGATCAAAGGGCAAAGGTTTCTATATTTTATTTTATTTTATTTTATTTTTTTATTTCAATTGTCTCACATTACATCGATATTAACTTGTAATTTCGTATTGAGTTTGTCCTTAATTATTTCTTCAGGCCGACACTCAGAAACATGGGATTGAGGAGTTTAAGTCTCTGAAGCAAGTCAGGGTAAGTGATATTTGTCATTAATGTTTCTTTATTATGAATTCGATGGTCCATTTACTGTCTGATGGGGAATACAAATGGAATGCATATATTGGCGGTTTTTTTTTTGTCTGAAATTATAAGCTGAGTACATAAACATTTCCCCTGATGGAATACAAATAAAATGCAGTTTGAGGAACCTTTTTTTTATGTAATTGTAACAGCAGCAATATCTTTGTGGTTTTTCTCTTTAACAATATTAAATATTTCCTTCTCATTTTTCGAATGTACTAATACAACTATCGGGTGTATGTATGCTTCCATGATTGCTCCATTTAGGTTGAATTGGAGAGACTGCGTCTTTTATGCGAAAGGATTAACAAAAGGGAGAAATTGAAAGTAAGCGGACTATTTCGAGAATCTTCAGTTCTAGTTTTGCTTTTATTGTATGTTATCCCGTACCTTCAAGGCCTTTTGAATGGAATGGATATCTTTAGTTCAATTCCGTTTTTTCTTATTTCTAGTTATAAAATACATGAACTAACCTTGAACTTTGCTTGATCAATTACAAATCAGTACATTAATATATTTTTTTTTCTGCTTTGCGCTTTTTCAGCGTGAGTTGGTCATTTGCTCGCACGATATCCTTGCTTCAAACCGGGACACTGTTCTCTCTGCCTTGGCGCGTCACCCGTTTTACCAACCCGAAGTAAGTTCTGAATCTGCCACGACCTCTATTAAAGGTCATACTGATGGCTGTAAATCGGGCAGTGAGTTGGTGCAGAGATCGGATGATGTGACGGTTGATAGCAGCACGGTTGCTGGCAAAAGACGTGTTAAAATTCCAGTGCCGGTGGACAATGATCGGAAAATGGACGACAGCTCAACATCCCCAAAACTTTACATGCTAAAACCCGTGGAGAGGGTAACATTTTCCGGGAAGCAAATCCCCAAACGACTTTCAGCCCCATCACGGAACCCCTTGAACGATGCTGACAAACGAACAAAACATAGAAAGGTAAGTTTTACTATGGTTTAAGGCTATTACTAAAATATCCCCGGGGTTTGGCCTAATTCCAAAAGAACCCAGCAAACTTTTGCAATTAGAAACCCTTATTTTTTATTCTTTTATTTTTTTTTTAAATCTGCCCCCCCTGCATAAGCTAAGAAACATTTCAAAACCCCGTCACATTTTATTACAATATTGCAATTAGGCCCTTTGATTTGCGCTCTGTCAAGCGTTATGGTGTTACTGTAGTTTTGAAATTATCTCGGTTTAGCTACAAGAAACTTTTGTTATTTAAGTCTACTCAACTCAAAAGTACAAAATCTGAATTGATCATTATCTTTCATATAGAAAACTATTCGCCGATAAAATACAATTTGATGGCTGGCCACTTTATGCGGAAAGTCTTCGCCGATATGACTTCATTTTGGGAAAGGTAAGTTTTACGATGGTTAAGGTTATTACTAAAATATCCCCGGGGTTTGGCCTAATTCCAAAGGAACCCAGCAAACTTTTGCAATTAGAAACCCTGATTTTTTTTTCTTTTTTTTTTTTTTATTTTTGCTGAAATCTACCCCCTGCATAAGCCAAGAAACATTTCAAAACCCCGTCACATTTTATTACAATGTTGCAATTAGGCCCCTTGATTTGCGCTCTTTCAAGTGTTATGGATGTTACTGTAGTTTTGAAATTATCTCTGTTTTACGCTTTAGCTACAAGAAACTTTTGATATTTAAGGTTGTGTTTGGTAAGCATATAAGTTAGCTTATATAACTTACTAGTACAACACCCGTGTATTACACAGGTGCTTGCTAATTTTTTTCTTAAAATTTAAAATTAATGAGAAAAAGTAGTTCGAAAATTTAAATACCTTTTATAAGAATATATATATTATTATAATTTATCATGATACTTTTTATTTGTGCGACTTACTTGTGTTATATTATACTAATTTTTTAACTTACAATATATAACTACATTAAATATAAATATATCACTTGAGAAATAATTTTATTTTTCTAATGAATTTTAATAAATATTATTATTTTTTATTATTATAAAGATAAATATAATTTATTTATTTTATATATACAATATGGATGTCAAATCGAAGATCATCAAAAGATGATTAATTTGATATATTATATATGTAAAACCGATAAGAAATACAAAAGTTATCTACTTTTAAAATACATTTATAATTCAATAGCTTATTGAAGGAAGCAAATCACAATTTAGGGATATATTAGTCACTTAGTGCCTCACTATGTAAAATTACAAAGAACTAAAGGGTTATATTAGTAAAAGTAATATTAAAATATCTAAGTTAGCTAAATAATATTTATGGAATACCCGAACCTAGATTATTAATTATTAATATATTAATATTATTTGTCCAAACCTAATTACGAAGCATGATTTTTCGCCAAATAGGATTCCGAAGCACCAGCCACGTAGGCTCAGCGCATTCGGGAATTATATATAGAGAGGATTTGATTAGTTTATAAGTTCGTGTATTCAAATAAACTTTGTTTGGGAGGACAAGCTTTTTTAAAAGGCTCGAGCTTATCTCATAAGTTTTTTTGGGTAGCTTTTCAAATAAGCCCATTGAAATTTTTATTTCAAGCTAATTTTACCAAATACTTTTATCATATAAGCTAGTTTTTCAGTCATAAGTCATAAGCTATCAGATATAAGCTCAAAATTCACTTAAAAGCTATAAGTATCTTATCATCAACTAGTTTACCAAACATAATTTTCAACCCAAAAGTACAAGAAAAATGCTACAAGTACATAATAAATGTACATAAAGGTGTACATAACACTCACATAGAGTGGGGTACACTTAATTTTTTATTGAGTAATGCTATATGTACATAATATTGTACATAAGGGTGTACATAAGACTCACATTAATGAGACCTACAAAATTAAAAGATCCAGTGGACCCCACTCTATGTAAGTTTATGTACACTTCTATGTATATTTATTATGTACTTGTAGCATTTTTTTTTGGTGGGTCCCACTCAATGTGAGTGTTATGTACATTCCTATGTACAATGTTATGTACTTGTAGCATTACTCAAAGTACAAAGTCCGAATTGATCATTGTCTTTCATAATAGAAAACTATTCGCCGATATGATTTCATTTTTGCGAAATGCAATTTCTGATTGGGTGGCCGTTTGTTTTGTCGCAGCACCTGGAAACCTTTGATAAGGAGCTTTCAATGACATCCGACCAAGCATCCATGAAAAATCAACGACTCCCTAAGGGATTCGTTTATGTTCCGATCCGGTGCATATCAAAGGACAAATCTTGAAAAACATAACAGGTAGCTTGATTTCACTACAAATCGCCTCTCAACCGAGCTTAATGCGTGTTTTTCGAATCAGACACATTGATGTTCGTGTAAGTCCGAGGATAAATGCTTGATTTTCTGGTACTCAACTAAAGAGATTGGAGCATTTTTGTATATGCATTGTCAGATGTACAGCGGGGAATGGGATTTTTTTTTCCTATTTGCCTGTGATCTCAAGCCTTGTTACCCTTTTTTTTTTCCCTCATTTAATTTTTTAAATTAGATTTTACTTACAGTTCTTTGTGAGAAAGGGTACTTGGAGCTAATGCTTGTAATACTGATAATAAAGCTGTGTGCTTATGAGCTTTGTAGAGTTGGTGTATATATAGCAGTTCTGCTCAACGATCAAAGCAAAATTGTCCCCAGGTGGCTTTGATTAGAATGACATTAACTTATTTGTTTAATTAATGCACTGTATCTTCTTAAATATTGCCTTTTTTTTGGGAGGTGCTACGGTCCCGAACCATTTCATCAGGTTTGACATTAACTTATTGTTTTTAATTAATGCACTGTATCTTCTTAAATATTGCCTTTTTTTAGGAGATCCTACGGTTCCGTTACGGAACCATTTCATCAGGTTTGTAATCAGACGGTTACATGATGATATAACGGTTACAAACACCAATTGAGTGGTTTTGAGACTGTAAGAATTCTACTTTTTTTTTTTTGTTTTTGTTTTTGTTTTTTGGTATTAGTATTACAGGCATGTAAGGTTTGTGCTCATTGAGGTGGGAGGTTTTCATTTTACCAATATTTTTTAAATTGTAAAGAAATACTGAATAAAATTATAATAATTAAATTTGATGTAATATAAAAAAAATGGTAATTATTGAGTGATAGTAATTGACAGTTAAAAGTAAGGATACATACAAGCTTAAATAAATATATACTATGAACCAACTCATACCACATCTTAGACCTTAGTTCGTTTATTTAGATGCGAAAAAATTAATGTTTGCAATTCCTACATTTTGTTTGTTGGTTAAAATAGGACAAAGTCCACTTTTGGTCCTCCATGTTTAGGGGGTATCCAGACTGAGTCCCTATTATTTTTTACTGCCCAATTTTAGTCCTTAAAACAAAAAAATGTAGTCCCTATTATGTTTTGGTGCCCAATTTTAGTCCTTAAAACAAAAAAATGTAGTCACTATTATGTTTTGGTGCCCAATTTTAGTCCTTAAAACAAAAAATGTAGTCCCTATTATGTTTTCGTGCCCAATTTTAGTCCTTAAAATAAATAAATATAGTCTCTATTATGTTTGGGTGCCCAATTTTAGTCCTAAAAATAAAAAAATGTAGTCCATATTATGTTTTGGTGCCCAATTTTAGTCCTAAAAACCAAAAAATGAAGTCTCTTAACCTCAATTTATGTGAATTAACGGTCCATTTTTGTTAATAACATCAAAGTAGTTGTGTAAAATAATTTAAAACATCGAAAAGATGTAATCAAATTTCAAATGAACAAATTATTGAGGCACTGGCCATGGACAAAATTGTCATTTACGCAAACCAAAGGAAAACTTAAACTATTAAATAATAAAATTATATATTTAAACAAATTATTGACCTGATTATAAAAATCATGATACATTCATTGCATAATTATTAATTAATAAATATTAAATAAATGAATTATATATTTATATTACATACCCTGCACACAACAATCCATCCACTCGTCCGTGAGTGGGTCCATGGCCACTCACGGACAATTATAAATATATAATTTTATTATTTAATAGTTTAAGTTTTCCTTTGGTTTGCGTAAATGACAATTTTGTCCATGGCCAGTGCCTCAATAATTTGTTCCTTTGAAATTTGATTACATCTTTTCGATGTTTTAAATTATTTTACACAACTACTTTGATGTTATTAACAAAAATGGACCGTTAATTCACATAAATTGAGGTTAAGGGACTTCATTTTTTGGTTTTTAGGACTAAAATTGGGCACCAAAACATAATATGGACTACATTTTTTTATTTTTAGGACTAAAATTGGGCACCCAAACATAATAGGGACTATATTTATTTATTTTAAGGACTAAAATTGGGCACGAAAACATAATAGGGACTACATTTTTTATTTTAAGGACTAAAATTGGGCACCAAAACATAATAAGGACTACATTTTTTTGTTTTAAGGACTAAAATTGGGCAGCAAAAAATAATGGGGACTCAGTCTGGATACCCCCTAAACATGGAGGACCAAAAGTGGACTTTGTCCGTTAAAATATGTAAGGTTTTCAATTACTAGCTAATAAAATAAATAAATAATATAATTAATTAAACTAATCTATTAATATATAATAAGGATTAACTTAATTAATTTTTAGTAACTAATTCCCGCCAAAAACATTAATTACTGCCTATGAATAGTAATTTAACCCAATTTCAGAAAAACACTATTAATTATGCCCGATTTACATGGATATGGAATAACAGCAATTGTATGGAATGAAATAAAAATCATAAAATCGCTGCCATTATCCATACAATAC